TTTTTTGTTTTTTGTTTTACCGAACTGATCCTGGCAATCCTGGGGACCCACTGGTTGATTTAGAGGCTAGAAATAATCTCACATCACAAAGCCCTGAATTTGAATCTGTGATCACCCACTATGTGTCCTTCAGCAAACTGTTCAACTTAGTCCGCATTCTTCATCTAAATCAAGGTTGTCTTGAAGTTTCCTTGTTTCTTCCTTGTGATATGAAGTTGAGTGTGGGGGGAGGTGGTGGCAAGGTAAGAAGATGGACATTGGAAGTAGGCAGAACTGGGTTCAGTTTTCAGTTCAGGAACATTACGGGCCATGTGATTCTGACAAATTCCTTGGTCTCTTTATACGTCAGTTTCCTTACGTGTAATAGAAGAGGAAGCATAGTATTATAGTACTGACCTCATTAGGCTATCATGAGAATAAAATGAGATGATATGTGTAAAGGCTTAGCACAGGGCTGGCACATAATAGGTGTTTCATAAATAGGAATGTGAAAAAAAGGCTGTTTACAATGCCAAGATACAAAAAATAATAAGAGAAAATAAAATAAGTGGTAGTTATCACTGTTATGGAACCAGTGTAACACATAGTTTGCCAAATCCTGCAGAAAAAGACCATGTTCTTTTGTTTCTGTTCCCACCTTACACACTATAGGTCATACACACGAGATCCTAAAGCACAAGAGTCAATGCATTGTGTCTTTAAGACTTTTTAAATAGACATTAGTGATAACATTAACTAAACAAAAAATAGCAATTTGATAAATCTGTACTAAATACAAACTAGGTCAGAGAATACTTCACTGGAATTCTTGGCACCTAAGCTTACTGCTTTCCCCTTTTCCTAAAAAAAAGAAAAAAAATTGGCTTACAGTAACTCACTCTTTGGCTATGAAAAAAAAAAACTCTAGGATATTTTGTCCAAAGATCGCTGCTTTTTGTACAAACATTTTTAGAAAACAAAAGACATTCCAATTCCCATCTGCAGAAAGTCAACAATACTTTTATAAGGATGCTTTTTTATTATAAAAAAGAATCCATTTCAATCTCTAGAAATTCAACAACATCAGTAAAAGCATGCTTTGTCTCTTGTATCAAGATTACACTTCTAAAAATGTATTAGAACATGTACTCCAGGTATTGTAATCAGCCACAAAAATTAAAATTCATATCTGTAGGCAAGTAATCTAGCTATGCCGGAGGGTGTCATGGGATCTGCTTTTGAAAGTAGTTTATAATCTGATCTCTATCTCTTCTATATTCTTTTATACTTTTAAATTGAAATGCTTTAGAAATTCAGACTTGTAATTAAGATAATGTTTATCATTCACACCTTATCTTCTAAAAAAAGAGTCCGTCAAGAAAATAAAAAAGGTATGAACAACATGAATTGGGAAGATGTGGCCTCTTTAATTGGTAACAGCCTTTTTATGAGATCGTGAAAGAGGCCAATGACCCCTGAAAAACCCAACTGCAGGGGAGAAAACCTCCGGGTATCATCCAGCCAAAGAATCAGAGAGAACCAGAAACAAAATAGGGGTCCTGCAAAACCCTAATTTTGTCACCACTGGCTTCACTAATGAAATCTAACCTTCTATTGTGATAAACTAAGCTGTCTCTAGGGCTGAACTCTTGAAGTAGGGGCAGCAAGCTCATCTTTTTTTTTTTTAGCAAGCTTATTTTGAAATTTGTGGGGGGTGGAGAGGAGAGGCAATGTAGTCCATTCTATTAAACAAGTCCACATTTAAATATGGAATTACTTCCAAAGATCTTCTGAAATTAATTTCCCTTTTTAGTTTATACACATTATTAAATGCTCCACTTCCACTTTTAATGCTTTTATTGATCACAGAGTATTCAACTCATATAAAAAGGTACATTTTCAAATGGATATTCAGATCCTACCACTCAGATGAACTAAACCATTTCCAAGAGTCAAATCTCCCTTCCCTAATTCCACTTCCACTTTTCATTTCTGATGAAAACCGATGTTTCACTATTTCTCAAAATCAGTTTTATTCTAACCCAGAATGCCTTCAAGCTACATGGTATCACGGTCTAAGCAGAAAATAAGACTGGTGACCCTGTTATTATAGTGGGCTCAGGACAGGGAACCCTGTGCAATTGACATCATCCTGAGTTCTTATTGTCCTAGAAGGGAAAAGCGAAAAATAAAACAAAAAAACACCCCAAAACCAATTCTGGGATGCAAAACATTACTCAGTTAACAGATTGTTTCACCACAGGGCAAGACCCCCTAACCTGCAATGGAACGTTTTTTCTCTAAAATGTCTAGAGGACTAGAGTGTATGAGATCCAAAACTATGGGCCAGGAGATAAGAGGCCAGGTCATAACTTGAGACATAAAAATACATGATGCTAGCCCAAAGTGGAGAATAAAAGGTTAAGGACAGAGTAGAGAAGTGGCAAACTCTCTACAGGTCCCCGAGTGAACACTGATAACCATGGCCTGTGTAAGGGGTCTGCTAATGGACCCTCCTGGATCCATGAGGGCGGCTTTTTGACGGAATCCAAATTTTACAGAACAAATCCTTTTAATAGAGAGATTTGTTCTGTGAAGTTTGGATTTGGTCAAGGGGCCGCACTTGGGGATTCAGAGACCCACCCGTGGCCTTGAGGCCCCAAGTTCCCCCACCCCTTGGTCAACACACAGGATCAGAATTTTTGCCTCAATATTATTTGAACTTACTAAGTGATGAGACCCTTTCCCCAAGGAGAGCCACTTTCAATTTTTAAAATAATCACCTTGCCTAGAAAGTGAAAAGTTGACTTCTTATACTCTATCAATTGTCCGTAAAGGACAACATTGACGGCACCATGTCAGAAAATCCTCTCCCACCTCCATACCTCTCCTTTCTGGATCTCAAAGTAGTCCCCTGGGCAGGAAGTGGCTGAACTGATGTAACCATCCAGCCCGCATGTCAATTTAAAATTATATTGCAATCCTTCCCACTACCAGCAGTGGCCAAAAAAGTGGTATTCGCATGCACAGAGCCAGTTGCAAAAAAGACTGCAATTTCATAGTCTCCCCATTCAGCTCCATGGAACTTAAAGCCTCTTGCACTTGGCTAAGAAAAACAAGACAAAATATTTCTTTTAAAAAGATACCACCTTGCTTGGTCTCCTCTAGCAACTAAGTTCTACATTTAAAGGAAGAGGAGGCAGCAGTCAATTGCTTGCTGTTCCTAGATAGTTTTCTATCACAGGAAGTGTGAGAGCCCTCGGCAGAGGGAAAAGCTGTTCAGGGAACCTCACTAGAATGCCAGCAGATTTAGTGAAAGCCTCCTTCCATATGTAAAACACCCCTGCTGCCCTGCATAGAGCAAGGAGGGGGGGAAGCCCAAACGGAGCCCAGAAAAGGGAAGAGAGAAGTGAAAATGGAGATAGAATGGCCCTTCTGAAGATAAGAAAGGCGTAAAACACATTAGAAGGAAGTAGAGGAAAAAGCATAAGAAGGAAGAAAATGCCTTAAAGAAAAAAAAGCCCCAAAACTGGGGAAGGGGAAGAAATTTATAGCAATGAAGTCAGGCTATAAAAAGACAATTGGATTCAAAAGACTTAAAAGTAGGAAGACCTTAAAAGGTGGCGGTGGGGGGAATTAAATGTGCAGGGAAGGGAAGATACAAACCCACTGAAGAAGGTGGGGGAGGGGAGGGACAAATCAGATCGGAGAAGGAAGAGAAACAAAGAGCAAGGGACAGTGGAGATCCAAACCTCCCACCCATCGGTTCTGGAAGACCAGCGTGGAGACAGAAAGTTAACTCTCATAAAATGGTAAGTGGTAGTACCAGAGTTGTAAGTCTGGGCTACTAATCTTTGCAAAGAAAAGGGGACGCTGTTTGCCATTTCCCACCTATCTTGCTTCTGAAATTTAATTGAAACCATAGCTTGGCTTTAAAGACACAGAGGTTGACAACCTAATTAAGATCCCTTAACTGGGAAGGAGGGGACCTGAGTTTTAACCTGTATAACCTACACCGGTAAAATCGGGAAACACACCAAAAATCACCTAAGTCTTCTAGTTCTTGGAAATAATACAGACTAATGTCCGAACATCTCCTTATTTACATACCTATCTACGTGTCCCCCACCCCCTTGTTTAATTGTAGTCATAAATTCCTAATATGCTCTAACTCTTGCCCTAACTGGTTAAGAAGCGCCTTTTCCACATTTTTTTCCTAGTATCTGGAGGCCCAATTAAGCCAAAGCTTTTATTTTACTTTATATGGGGGAGGGTGAGGAGGACGAGGACATTTCGGTCTAGGGGGGACTTGGGGTTGCTGCCCTATAACGCAGCCCTTGAACCCATCCCAGGTGAAACGCGCAGCTCACCCTGCAGACCCAAGGCTGTGCACCTAATCTTTCCTCCCTCGAAGGTCTTGAAGCACTTTTCAAACGTTTCTTCATAAACCAGTCATTACTATGGTGTATTACGCAGCTCGTATAGCGCCCGGGAACGGAACCCGGGAGGAGGGGAAGAGGCATCATAAGAAACCTAGGCATCGAGGTTGGTTAATTTGGGAGGAGGACCAACAAGGGACTAGTTCAATATTCATCTGTCCTCTTGGAGACACGTTAATTTTTATTGGATCAGAAATGTCCAATGTAGGTCCCCCATTCCTGTGGAAAGGGTACTGGCGCCGGCCAGTTCTTTCCTGACTACTTCTTGTAGAATATGTTTTATATGTGTGTGTATATATAGGCATAAATGGGCTGCACAGACCTTCTGGAAGGAGAAATCAGGCGGGGGTCGGGGGTCGGGGGGGAACAGGAGCAGGAGGAGGAGGGAGCGGGGAGAAGGGCGCGGGCGGGGGAGAGAGTGAGAGGAAGTGGGGATGAGAATTTTCTCCCTGGGGGCGGTAGGTTGCCTCTGCCGCCTCCTCGCCCTCGGGCGGGGACCCGGCCACTCACGTGCGGCCGGGCCAGTCCCAGGCACGCGACTCCGCGCACCTTTCGCCCTCCGGGCCCGCTCCGGGATCCCGCCCGAGTGGGACTGAGGGGACCGTCACGCCAACTCATTCAAGGACCGGGTGGCGCTCCTGAGAGTTTCTTAAAAGCCATTTTGACAGACCACTGGTTCCATTCCCTACTCCCTTCCTCCCCGATCCACACAACTCCCAGTCAACCCCGGCAAGACTCGTCATCTGCCTTCATTCCAAAGAGTCGCCCCTGAAGCCTGAAGTCGCCTCTCCAAAACGCTCAGGGAGACAGGAGCCAAAGTGTCTTCCCTACCGTCCAGTCCCCTATACAGTCACGGGGGGAGGGAGAAAACTTGTTTAGGGGGTAAGCCGGAGCACGAGACGGCCCGGGCTCCCCACCCGCGACTTGCACAAATCGACCTCTCCTCACCCTGATGCGCCCAGACCTCCGATTCTCCAAAGAGGCCCGGCAGTCACCGGCACGTTCAGGGATCTCCCCCAGGCCACACTTGCCCTCCCCCAGGTCCGCTTCCAGCGGAGCCCCGGGTCAGAACCCCAGGCGCCCCCGCTACCCGCACCTAGTGCCTCGGCGGGGCCTCCAAGACGGGCGGCCGAGACCTCCGGCTGGGGGCATTGTTTACCACCCGCAACAAAAGCGCCCCGAGCGTCCCGGGGTGGGGGGTCGCGGAGGGGAGAGGGCCCACCCGCGGCCCCGGGAGAACCCCGGCCGCCGAGCCCCCGCCAAGTCCAGCCCACCCCGAGCGCCGCCCCCGCACCCCCTCCGGCCTCGACGTCCCAGTCCCCGCTTCCCGCACCCCTGCCCTCTGCCCTGGCTCCAACTCACCACTGGCCGGCTCAGGCTCCCAGGGCAGCGCGGGTCCGCCAGCTCCACGCCTGCACCAGCCCTCAGGCAAACTTTCCAACTCGCGCTAGTACCCGCAACTTTGGAGCTCGGGGACCGGCGGGCGCGAGGGGCGCAGGCGGGTCCCGGGCGGACACCGACCCGCTCCCGGCACGGTCAGGGCCCGAGCCCCCGGGGTGGGCAGCTGCTTCCCAAAGGTCCACAGCGGAGAGGCAGGTAGAGCTGCATGACTTGGGCGGGGCGGGGGGTGTCCCGGGGGGCAGACCCGGGAGTAGAGGGGCCAGCGGCTGCGCGCACAAAGCGGCGCCGGAGCGGACTGCGCGGCCACTCCCCGCCAGGTCAGCCCCCCGGAGCAGCAGTGTCTCCCCAGGACAGACCTCAGGGAGTGAAGCTGGGGCTCTGCCTTCGCTGGACCCTGCTCCGCTGAGCGAGAGGCAAAACACGAGCTGGATTTCCCCAAACTGGAGCTGGACTCCCCTGTCGACCCCTCCCTCTCCCCCTCCGCCCCTTCCTCTTCTCTCCCAACATCTTTTTTTTGGAGGTCAAAGGAGAGTACTGGAGAGGTAGAGAGGTGTCAAGATTCTGTTATTACCTTTTTTCAGAGGGGGCATTAGGGTTGAGAGAAAAAAAGATTTTAGGATCTCTAAATTGCATGTTTATAGACACATGAAGGGGGTGCCAGGTCAGAGATGACACCATTGAGCAGTATTTGGGTCGCGAGCAGTGGAAAATCGCCCTGAACACCAAAGAGAGAAACCAGATGAGGGTTGTGTTCCTTGACTCTGCTCTTGATGTCTGCAAAGGTCATCATCATATTTTTGTTAGTTATATGGCCCCGGACCTCGGTGGCGGTGGTATCAATTTAGGCATGAAGAAATAAAGGCTCCAGAAGAGGTAAGTTTTCAGCATTAGGAGGAATAATCAGTGGCATTATGCCAGAATTAACACTGACTAGGGCATCTGAATTTCTCCCTGAATGTCTGATGGCTGTTGCTCCTTCCAGCAGTCAGTCATCACACACACAAAGGAATCTAGGACTTTAATGGGGTCATGGTGGTAAGGAAAATGCTGTTCATGGAACTGTCATTCCTCCAGGTCAAACTTCAACTGAAAAGAAAAGATTCAGTCTCTCATTGTCTCGTACACCATTCTGCCCCCATTCAGCACTTAAATTTTACTCTTTGTTGTACATACTTTATAAAGCATCACCAGGATGTCCTTTTGAGAAAGATTTCTTCCTCTTTAGTATAGTGGTAAGTAAAAAAAAAAAGAGAGAGACAAAATTATTTAAATTTTAAATATAAATAATAAAAAAAAGAGAAACATTCCTAAACTTTCAACCTTCCCCACTGATTAAGTCATTCAAAGTTATTCTTCAGCTAGGATCTAGGCATACAAAGATGAATAAATTTGCCTCCTCCTCAGAAGGAACACAGATTCCAGGATGGCAAGCAAAGCAAACTGATGACTATGTTACAGTGTTTTCAGTGCTACAGTGAGATAAAGTACCTTAGCTGAGGAAAGTCAGAAATGTGGCATTTGAAATAAATGTTATAGTCAAAAATTGACTCTTCTCAGTCAATGCTTCAAAAACCCTAATTGTCTCTCCGGGAGGCCGAGGCGGGTGGATTGTTTGAGCTCAGGAGTTCGAGACCAGCCTGAGCAAGAGCGAGATCCTGTCTCTCCTAAAAATAGAAAGAAATTAATTGGACAACTAAAAATATACAGAAAAAATTAGCTGGGCATGGTGGCACATGGCTGTAGTCCCAGCTACTCGGGAGGCTGAGGCAGGAGGATCGCTTGAGCCCAGGAGTTTGAGGTTGCTGTGAGCTAGGCTGACGCCACAGCACTCACTCTAGCGCGGGCAAAAGAGTGAGACTCTGTCTCAAAAAAAAAAAAAGACAAAAACCCTAATTGTTAATATCTTGTTAGAAACATTCTCCTGGGACTTAGATAAAAAGGAAGGAATATTGGGATAGTGTGACTTAAAATTTGATTTTCAGCCAGGTGCAGTGGCCAGTGCCTGTAGTCTCAGTTACTCCAGAGGCTGAGGCAGGAGGATCGCTTGAGCCCAGGAGTTTGAGGCCAGCCTAATCAATGTAATGAAACACATCTCAAAACAAAACAACAATCACAAAAAAACACTTGGTTTTCATGAAGAACAAAAGGAAAAAGACTATCGTGAAACAGCAATATCAGCTTCTTGTCAATTAGTTGAACTGAGTAACTTTAAAATGCATTGAAATAGGACAATCATACAGTGATGCAGAAAGATGTCCATGGTAACACCCATTCTCTTCATTCCACAAATGTTCATTGAGTCCCTACTTAGTGCCAGGAACAGTTCTAAACTCTGAGAAAACCAGCAGTAAGAAAAATGAAATCTCAGCCCTTGTGGAGTTGGCATTCTAGCATGGGGTAGAGGTGGGGGTGTAGAAAATAAATGAAATAAATGAGCAGAATATATACTGTGTCAGATGATGATAAATTCAAGGGAGGAAAAAAAAGCAGGGAAGGAGACTGAGAGTGTTGGGGGGAATTGCAGTTTTAGATTCAACAATCAAGGAAGATCTCATTGAGTAGCTCCAAAAGAGGTAAGGGAAGAAGCTGGGGGAATATTACATGTTTAGGAAAAAGCAAGTGCAGAGGCCCTGAAGGCTGGATTGTGTCTGTGTCAATAGAACAGTTTCACCGTGTTCCACAACAGTGAAAAATTGGAAACCATCTAAATGCCCATCAAAAAGGATATATGGGGCCGGGCGCGGTGGCTCACGCCTGTAATCCTAGCACTCTGGGAGGCTGAGGCGGGTGGATTGTTTGAGCTCAGGAGTTCGAAACCAG